ATGTTTAGCATTGTGTTTATGTTCAGAATTAGTACTGACAAGAAATGGATCAAAATTAATTGTGAACTACATGAAATCTCCCAGGGTGAAATTAAACTTTTTGTTTGTGTTTTTGTATTTCTGTTGAGTCAATGTGTGCCATTAAAACAAAGACAAATAACTAATAATTAGATAGATAAATAATTAATAAAAAGAACATTTTTTAGTTAAAATAATATGGTAAAATAAAGGGGACTTTGAGCCCTGCCTGCATTCACTACATACATATAACACGACACCTAAGGACCACAGCATCCAAACCAATAAGTCAGGTGATGGGGCACATGACCCTCTATGAACAATAGAGCTAATCAAGCCTATTGTTTGNTATTTACTGAGAAAAGTGGTGACGTATTCAATACTTATTTTACCCGCTGTAAATACCTCATTGATTTCCTTCTTACGTATTTCTGCTTGATTTTAATCTCCCTTCTCTGCTCTGTCTGGGCTTTCTTCCATTGACTTGGATTTCTATGGTAGATTTTCAACTGGGCCAATCAGTGAACAGGAGGAGGAGTTGTGAACAACTTTAGTTTAGCAACGGCAGTGGAGGAAGTGAACGGAACCAGTTTGTGTTGACAAGGCTTCCATTTCAAATTAAATTTGTCTCACAAAGCAGCAGCTGTCATTTACAGCTGTCTCATTGTGTAGCAGATGGTTGTTTACAGCACAGGTTAGCCTCTTAGCTTAGCTTCATTCACAGTTGAGCTGGCGCACTGCATACATCACGGCCAAACGTTAGTGATTGGGTAAAATCAGATCCAATCATTTTAAACTTCAACGAGTCCACGCCTCCAGCAAACAATCGCTTCTCAATAGCTGAGAGCCCAGACCGTCTGCACAAAGCAAAGTGTAGGAAGAGTCTGGTTTTAGGCCTATTCTGCTTCATTTTCCTGGGATTCACTCTCCAGTCTGAGCCCTCTGACATTTAAACACATTTGAAAGAAAACAGAAAAAAATCATTTTAAACCTGTTCTTGTTTCTAGGAGAGAGAACTGGCTCAGTTCCTTTATAAATATCAAAATAATATTTGATGTTTTTGTATTATTTTATGTAACTGATGTTCTATGTCTGTATTACATGTCTCTCTTATAACTGAAACTAAATAAAATAAAAGCAAATAACCATCATTAAATGTTTTCATAAATGTCACATGTTTTAACAGCACACTAACATTTACTGTAGTTGAGCAGTCTGCTGTGAGAATCTAACACTTTTTTTGTTTTGTATTTCACCTCCATATCTATTATTCAGTTCTGGATTGTTTTTAATTTTACATCTAGTTTAGGCCAGTTTGACTTGTGCTCTATTTTTTAACCCTCCTGCTACTCTAATGTCAAAGACACAATTGACCTCAGTTTGAATAAAAATGAAAATCTTTTCAGTTTTAGAATTGATCGAACCTTTTCTTCTAGAACAATGTTCACTGTTCAAACTGAATGATTAAAACAATACATGACTTTTTTTGTTTTATTTATACAGTAAGTAGATAACATGGCTGCCTTCTCTCTAACATGAGTGATTTGTTTTCATTGATTTGTTGGATAATTGTTAAAGGAAATTCCCCTTTGTTATCACTTCCTATTTCTCTTTGGCCACAGAGAGTAAAAATATATGCCAATTATGTAACAAAATGGCTAAAATTGTGTGGATTGTGCCCAATTTCTTAAATTTTAACATGTTTACTTATTTCACCTTTCTGTATTTGTAGGATATATGTATGTTACGGGCATTTTAAAGGACAAACAGACCAAAAAATAATAATAAATCCCATTCAACATTTATTTCATTTATTTCTGATGTGCTGTACTTTGAAAATTAGGGGTCAGTCATGTACTTTTATATTTCTGTTCCAACTCTAGCAGTGATGATAGATAAAAACAGCCCTTACCACACTCTCTTTTGGGCTCATCAGATCGGTCCTTGCAGTCCTTGACAGAGTCACACACCTTGGAGCTGTCAATGCACTCTCCGTTCTTACACTGAAACTTCAGGGGTCCTTCACATTTTGTGGCTGCAAATTAAAAAAATGAATAACAGGTGGAGTAAAGAACAGCTTCTTCATCTCACATTGGTTTAACTGTTTAAAACAAATACAGCAACTAAATAAAGAAACAATAAACCCAAGACAGCTTTATCTATTGTTAAAAAAACACACAAAGTAAATTTTCCATTTACATAAGCATAGGAAGTCACATAA